GTCAATCCAGTGCCCATGATTCTCAACTGAAGGGCAAAGATGCTGAACCTTCCCAACTCGGGACGACAAATCATCCTTCTTTCAAGTTCGTTTCCTCACCCTCACCTCCTGCACAAATCTGGGCCATTCTGGTTTGGTGCCCATCCTCCTTTGAACCTCGTTGGCATACCGCAAACCCCACGGCCACCACTTCGCATCTTCAAAGGCCTGCCTCAAAGTTCGCCTGGTGTAATTCTTGAAGGCTTTCACTTTCTACCTCAGCACGTCCGTTTCCACTGGAATCGTCTCCAGGGGCCTTTGTCAAATAGATACCCCTTTGCAATGCCCACCTCTTGAACTCACCAGCAAACTCATGACCTTGATCTGAATGAATCCTCCCCACATGATATCCTTCCGATCTCAACCGGAAGACAAACTCCATGACCGTGCTCACCACCTCCTTTACCTTCTTTGACGGCAGGGCCATGCGGAAAACTCGCAGTTCTGTGACCTCATCAAGGGTCGGAGGACTGGCTCTGAGAGCTGCACCAGGAGATCCTCCCCCGACCCGTCCTCATCAGCCAGGGTGGCTCTTCACATCACCCGCCCCTTCACCGGAGATCTGGACCAGGGCTCCTCTCCCCGACCCGTCCTCATCCGGTGGAAATGGCTCATCCTCCTCCGCTTCAATCATTGGAGCATCATCAGTGGGATCTTCATCAGGCGGGCTTTTCAGCTTTTTAGTCCCACGAGGCACCCTCCATGTCAAGGCGCCCACAAGGAAGTACCGCACCAACGATCCACCCATGTCATAGGCTGGCTTCCGTGGACCAGCTGTGTCAATCGACAACACCCCCGCCAACGGATCTTTCACACATCGATGTGGGGGACATTGCTGCGAGCGTTCTTGGCGCACTACGGTTGCGTCTGTGTGGAACATGCCGAAACTCCAAGTGCTCATTCCAAGTCATGGCCTTGCATTTCACATCCGAACGAAACACCTGTTGAACCAATGCTGAGGACACCGTAGCCATCACTGCAGGAGCCCACCTCGATAACTCAGTTGAACTTGAAATCTTGACCGGCCCCCTAAAACTCCTCCTTTGGAACGCCTCCGCATTCAGCTCCAGGTTTCCACCAAACGTGGTTTGGGCGAAAAGCCACCCATGATGCCCTGTTTGAAGAGTGTCTCCTCCAAGGCAAACTCCTTCGCAATCGACTTCCACTCCTTGGTGTCCCAGAAACTGACCACCTCATGCATGTAGTCTTTCGGGGACGCCGGTTGTGCAAGTCCAAATGCCACCCAGTCATTCAACCCTCTGGCCCTTCTCATGTAGGTGGACAGCATGAACAGGAAAATGCATCGCCACATCATGATGTCATCTTCATGCAACTTCTGAAGTTCCTCCTCCGTGGCATCCTTGATGCCAAATTCCTCCCCACCCCACCGTCGAATCGGACGAGGCGCATTGGGTTGCCCCGGAACTGGAACATGACGAAGAAGACTGCGGGTCCTGCAGTTCCGACCAGCAACAATGGACAGAATCTTGCACTCAATTGCAGCTTTGATCAGCCCAGCATAGACACCATCATCTGCCAAAACATCATGTTGTGGAATGTTGTGGACCCCGTTTCAAATCAACCTCAAGCAACTTGTCGTCAGGTCCACCATGCTGACGTAATGCCCTCTTCAAAGTGCATCCAGAATCAGGACCGGCAAATAAGTGCACCATCATCCCATCACGTCGCCACTTTTTTTGCTGATGACGATTTCCAGGAACTGCAGACCAATCTCCAGGGCTCACCACGAGCTTCTCCTTGATGTGATCAGGAAGGGACGCCAGCACCGCACGTTGTTCTATACCAGCCGTCTCATCCAACACACTTCGTCATCATATTCACCAATCTTCTTCGGAATCCCAACCTTGGCATCCTCGATCTCAGTGATCAGCTCCAAAGCCATAGTCTTGGAGAAGTGTGGACAACCCTCCCGCCATCTGTATGGGGATATTTCCCTTCTCGGGGTGCTTCAACTGCATGCAACCCTGACTCCATGTGATCCCACAACCCAGCAACTCGGTCAGCTGGCCCATCGGCACTATCGGCTCAATTGCCGATGACGGTCATATCATAGACCCTCCTGGTGCCATTCTCAACCTCACCGCTCGCCCATCAGCCAGACCAACATCTACCAATGGATACAACTGAACATTTTCTCCATCTTTCCGGGGACGAAGTGCATGAGTAGCCCCACTGTCCACCAAGCCCACATCTGCACCTGTCGCTAATAACCTCCTCATCTTGAAGGTTCTCAAAGCCTTCAACTGCTGCTGAAGCCTCTCCATCACGTCCTTGCGTTCCTCCTCCTGAGAACTGCCGCCAGACGTAGAATCTTGACCTGAGGGTGGAGTTGAAATTTATCTCAGCATCTTGTTGGCCTCTTTTCCAAGAAATCATTAACTGCACTCTCTGAGCTGGCTTGACTGCTAACGTCCGGATCCTTCCCACCAGACGCCATCCCTTTGTCCTCCCCGCCGGCTTTGGCCATCCTGGGTTTGGTAGGGCTTGTCTCCGATGATGGGCCGCTCGATCTGGTGCACGATGGAGCCAAGTGCTCCACACTGCCGCAAGTGTAACAGCGACGCCTCTCATCTCTCATCTCGTGGCTGAATCCACATTTTTTGCCCTTTCTACATCCTCCATCTGTAAGGTAGAACTTGCATTTGGGTTTCTGCTTCTCCTCGCCTTCAGGCTTCTCTCTACCTTTCCCTTTTCCTTTGTCTACTTCCATGGTCTTCCTCTTTAGCTCACCCTTCGGCGCCACTGCAGCAGCTCTCTTTTCTGACAAAGCAACTTGTTCGATCTCTGCCAAAAGGTGCGTTGCGAATTGACCAACGGTGATATCTGTCGGCCGAGTGTCGACTCCAAGAGAGTTTCTGGCAAGGCTGACTCTGAATTGCAACTCTTTGTTTGATTCAAGCACCTTGCGAATCAGCTTGTTTAGCCCCTTCAAAAGAAGTGCCGGATCTGGCGTCACAGCGCAAATTTCTTGTGTTCACAACTTCCATCGCAATCATCTCCTTATAGCTGCCGGCGCCTCAGACATAGTCCCCACCTCCACTAGCTCCTCCAAACTGCGGAGCAAAGTCTGCTTCTCCAGCACACCGCCCGCACAGTAGGTCAGCAACAGCTGCGTCAGGATCCCAAAAACGCTCAGCCTCCTTTCTGAGACCACTTCATCTTTGACGACTTCAGGGACTGCCTGAAGAAGCATCGCAGCCATCCTCCGTTCCAATCTCGACCACTTCTCGAGACTCACTTTTCTGGAAGAGGATATAATGTTGAACTCGGTCAAGGGGAGACATTGACGTGCGCTTCTGATAACACTGCTCAGCAGATTTGACCATCAGCGACCCCCACAGCTCCGAACTGGCTGACAAATCAGCTGCTATCGGTTTGACGGTCAGCAGCCAGTCTCCTAAAACTGCAAAGGCCCTTGACTCGGAGTCCGCTGCTGTAGGACAGGAAGGTCAGGAATGCCAGTCCTCACAACTTCAACTCCGCGAATCATCCCCGACTCCTTTCTAGTTTCGGGACCTTCTTTTGTAGGTCCTTGATAATCAGATAGTCTCCATCATAATCATCATGAACTCTAAGCTCACCACCATGTGAACTGCCTCTGCCCGCATATGTCCTTTGAGAACCTTCATGCCCTTTATCCATCTTTACCCTTGGGGGTCTATCAGCCTCCTTGGGGGTCTTAAACTCAGCAGCCTCAGGGAGGAATGGGGATCTATCATGGTCTAGTCTATCAGCCTCCTTTGAACCTCCGGCCTCCTCAACACCTCGACGCTTCAGCCAATCGGCGTCCTTGTCTTCCGGACCGGAGTTCGGCTTCGAAGTCTGTTCCTCAGGTGTGAAAAACCTAGGCTCTTCCTCTCTCGAGACCTTCTCACCAGCATCTACTTTCGACCTCAACCGTTGATTCTCAGTTTTCAACGATTGGATCTGTTTCTTGAACTCTTTTTCTTCTCTGTCTCTAGCTACTTGCAACTTCAGGAACTCCACATCTCGTCCCATCTGACTCTGCACAACTCTGGGAGCGTCAACATCCAAAAATGCCGGACTCGGAGCAGAACCAGAAAACCGACTGGGGATTCCCATAAAGATCATGGTGCTTGACTTTGAATGAGTGCAAAGTTTCTCAACTGTTCTTCTGAAAACAACGGAACCTGTGGACCCAAAAACCCACCAGGTGTTGCAGCTTCAGACATCTGTCCTCCAGGATTTGCCATCTCGCTCCTCGGAGGTCGCTCAGCTGTCCTGCGTTTTCTGCATCCAGCTTCTCCATCACCTTCGGGTCATCGGTGCTGTAGGGAGAGTCGTTTTTGCCCAACGCAGGAGGGTCAGGTGGCGGATCAGTCGGGGGCTGCAAAGACTTGCTGGCAGAACCCTGATTGGAACTTTTGGCTGGGGTTCCTTTTGGACGATCATCCTCTTATCCTCTTGCAGTGGGGACATCTTACCCTCAGCATCTTCACTAGTGTTCCCTTCAGGTTTATCTTCCAAGGCCTTCTCACCTCTTTCTACAGCCTCCTTCTGAAACCTCGCCTCTGCTAACCTCATCTCTTCTTGACCCTGCGCTACTTCTTCAAGTGTAGTTTTTCTCCTCCTAAGACCAGCCATTTCAAACTTCTAATCCTCTGGGGATCTTCTAGTCCAAGGAGATACTCAGGGGATCTCAGGGGCCACTTGGGCTCACAACCTGGAAAACTCCAGGTGCCCAGAAATCCCACTTCACGCCTCGCTCTCCAAGTTTCGGAGTTCCTTGTTTTCGAAAGTCTTCGAATTTGAGCTGGAAAAAAGGCAGCTGCAATGCTGCACATATTGAAGAGTTGAACATGAATGAAATTCTGTCTGCACGTGAAGATCAAATGCTCAAAGTGGTTCGTGCTTTCTGCACAAATCATCCATAGATCACATCATTTTTGATTAGTTGGAATCCCCGCTAAAATTGATTCATGAAGGATTTTCACCATGTTTGTGGTCACTTGTCGAACGATTTCGAGACACCAAATTTCGCGGTGCCACCCTGGAGGCCATGGAAACACACTTGGATCGTTGATCGTTCCTGGAAAAACCTTGAATGGGTGTTCCGTAGCCATTTGCATGGGGATCTCTACCAGTTTACCAGAAATTTGTTTATTTTGTTGCGGTTCGTATTCAAAATTGACCACTACGATCCACTACGATCCACTATGATCCACTACGTGGTTTCAATAGATATATAATAAAAATATATGTATTATATATACGTATATACACAAACTTATACACGGGTTTCGTTCGTGTACGGGGGTGACCTGCTGCCTGGCTCCAAGGCATGCTGAAAAAATCACTGACACGCGCCTGCAACGATCTCCTGATGAGATCAATATGGGCCTTGGCGCCGGGACCCTAGCACTGCGCGATGCCGTGGCGATCATGCCCTGGTTTTGCATGGAAAATCCATGAATATCCAACGTTTGTAGATGATTTACCAAAATTTACCCATTATAAACGGTGGTTTTCCATAGTTATGTCAGTTTACCAGAGGGTAGGATGTAGTTGGTATTTCGATTTTACACTATATATAGATATTCTTTATTGGGAAAATTCACCTTCTGGGAATCACAATTTTGTTGCGCCATCCCTCTGCGCTAGCTGGCCATTGTCAATCACATGATGCCAATCGCTAACAGTTTATTTTTTTAATGAATAGAACCTGCCGAGATCGTTTTTTTTTTGACTATCAAGGACCTGGTGACTGTTTGTGGGTGAACCGGTGAACCCGACCATTTTCCGCTAGGCCAGAAAGCCTAGAGGCCCGCCTTCTCAATCGTGTGACGTCAACTCACGAGATCCTTGGATGAATTTGGGTTTCAGTAGTGGTAGGGGGTTGAAAATCACCACACAGGGAGATGGAAACATAACCAAATTTTACGTGTATATAAAAAATATATATATACAGTATATACACTTAGGTTTCAAATTGGTATAATCAACTTCCAAATATGGCCTGTTACAATTCAATTCTGACCTCAGTGGCCGAGCAAAAGAATCAAATGATGTTTACGGGATGTTACGGGCAAAAATGATTTCAAAAATACCCAAGATTTCAGGTTGGTGACTTATTGAAGGAAAACATACGCAAGGGCCTTCCCAAATTTTCCTGAAAGGTATGAAAACAACACCCAAAAGATAGAAAAGTAACATCCTACTAAAATAAGTACAGGTAAAAATTACTTTCCATATGTGTCCATCCTTTTTTAGGGGTGGTGACGGGTTCTGAAACTCTTATACAACCAAGACAACTAACAAGATTGAGAAATCAAAACATACGGCCCCGTGAAAAATGCAGGCTATGACCAAAAATGGGCCACTGATATTGGATAATATTTTTGGAGCGAAGGATCAGGAAGAACTACAGTCTCATCTAATGACACATCTGAAATGCGGAAGCTTCTAGGCGTCTGCGAAAGTTTCTTTCTTCGCTGGATATGTGAGGTTCACAAACAAAAACACACCTTCAAACTTCAAACATATGTTATACCTAGTTTGCACGACTTTATGGTGATATACCAACAATACTTGTTATCGTTTTGGTGATGTACCCATCATGGACTTCGAAAATGTCCAGCTGTCCAAGCTGTCTTCGCCCAGGGAGGATCTTCAAAGGCTGCTGGACACGGTCTTGCAGTACTGTGGCCACTGTGCCGCCAACGATACTGGTGTTCTGGAAGGGTCAAGAACTGTCAGGGTCCAACCTGTAAATTATAGTCACCCATGGGTGCAGGGGAATATTGTAGTATGTTTCTTTGTATACCCAGTTTCCTTTCTTGTATATGGGGTGTTGGGAGCTCATCACAATTTGCTACATGTTTTTTCTCTCCGGAATCATACCATACTCGTAACACCAACCCAAAGCACTGGTGCATCACAATGATTGTGACAGGGGGAATCCACACAAATTTAGCGCTTGCAACTACAAATGATGGTCGTGTCTCAAAATCCTTAAAATGACAGCAGCAGGGCTAGCTCAGGAGAATGCAAACGCAAGGGTCTGCTCCAATGTGTGATAAAAAGCAAGTATAAGTGTACCTACATATTATATTCCTACATCTACCCCAAACGCAATCTAGGGTTCATGCATAGAGCAGAGCTGATTGCAATGGATTTTGGCCTCCCTCTGCGGACCAATGATGACTTCCAAGTTTTGTTTAAAGCCTTGGCCATCCAATTGGACTCATATCGGATCAAGAAAAGCGTGGTGAAGGGATCCCGCTGGTTCTCTTGGCACAATGGATGCATTGACCATTACCATGAGTTTTTTGCGACCCGAATGCTTTTGTCCTTTGGGTACCCACATGAGAGAGACCCGGATGAAAACAGCAAGTCGCTGAATGAGCTCCGTGGAGGAGGCGATTCTTTGGGAGGTCTCAGACTCGCTGTCCAGTGCTGCAGCTGGAAGACATGGTATGGAATTACCATCATCAAGCTAGCTGATGGGCCCCTTTGGAGTCACTACTCAGCCTCGGTCAAGGAGATCAAGGATCCAATGCAGGGTCCAAGACGTAGAATTTGAGTATAGACAAGTCTTCGAAGTCTTTGGGCAAACATTGGTTGAGCAGATTGCTTGTTCTTGTCGCCATTTTGACGTGGATATTTGAATCAACCCGATTGATTTTTTGGGTGCTGTTTGTTTTGCTTTCAACCCATTCAACAACCTGGATCCATTCATGATGTTTTGAATTAATATTGAGTAAGTTTACTGGTTGTCTCATCAGTTATGCAATGTATTATAACAATGTTATATATATATCATGTGGTTCCAAATAACTTTGAAACGAAGAATTCTGTATGTACTTCATTCACGAATGGATTGGTTAATTGCCCACCCAATGTTTGTATTTGACTGCAAGATAGCGCAAGCCTTTCGCAATCCCTAGCGCTCTGAGAATTCTTTAGCAAAACGTAGCGCTCCCAGAATGATGGAGGCATTTGCTTTATTGCAGAGAAGAACACTTAATGATCAGTTTAATCAGAGTAGTCCCGAACTGTCGCATTTGTTCTTGGCCGGTCTTTCTCAATGTGCTGGCTGCTGTTTGATTTATTGATCTATTTAATGGATGATTTTCGAATTGAAACCTTCTTGTAGGGAAGCTATGTTTGAGGGCACCGCAGGGCATTTGCCAATAGTGTAATTATTGATAAACATTCCAGTAATATCCCCATTACATCACCATTTTTCTTGCAAAAATCCTTGAATTTAATGATTGATATCTCCAGTATATCACCATTTTTGCTGCTAAAGTCCCTAATGATTGGTCCATTGGTTGAGGGCGCTCCCAGCAGTGAGTCACCCCAGGTTCAGGGATGTCAGCCGAAGAAATTTTCCTTCACAAGCGGGCATTGAAGGCCCAACTTCTTGGGGCGTCCTGCAAGGCCGAAGTGCTGATGGCTGGGCGGGGCTGGACGGTGCATCCTATTGTCAATGGGATATATATATATATAAATTGTATATAACTTTGTAAATGGGTAACCCTACCCTATATATATATAACTTAGTAAATGGATTCTACCGACTTCTACCCGCAGTTAGAAAAAATGGATATATACATATACAGATGAATATAGCCTAGATGGGATGAAATATGGATTACAAACCACTTACTACTGGTAAGTGGCCAAGTTTACTCTATCGCAAGCAGATTCCCCAAAGGGTGACACAAAAGATGATCAAGTCGGAAATCTGGAAATGATGAAGGAAACATCATCGAAGCAGCATCCCGGACATAGTGTTCTATTTTCTAGGGCAGCTCTATAAGACCTTCCTAGATTGCAAGGGAGTGTTACTTGATCATGTCAATAATAATTACCGATGCCAATTTTTATATGGGATCCCCAAAGCTGTGATCTTTATGGGGGTCGGCACCTCGCTCCCGACGCCGAAAATCAACTCGCTTTCAGCGCCGAAAATCGACTCGCTCTCGACGCCTCTTTACTGACATCAACAACATGATAACATCAACAACAAGAACAAAATCAACAGCAGTCTCCAAATCGACAACACAAAAACATTAACAACCACAACAACATCATCAACATTCACATCAACATCAACTAGGAACATGAACCTTATTAACTCACCCCACCCCACCGGTAACTGATCATGAAAGAGCTGTGCCTGTCTCTGCTCAACAGAAAGAAAGATGATGAGGTTGCTGTGCCTGTGTGTGCATAGGAACATGGATGTTATCATCCCACCCCACCCCACCCCACGGGTAACTGATCATGAAAGAGCAGTGCGTGTAAGTGCTCTACAGCAAGAAAGATGATGAGGTTGCTGTGCGTGTGCAGGCATAGGAACATGAACCTTATTGACTCCCCACCCCACCGGTAACTGATCATGAAAGAGCTGTGCCTGTCTCTGCTTAACAGCAAAAAAGATGATGAGGTTGCTGTGCCTGTGTGTGCATAGGAACATGAACGTTATCATCCCACCCCACCCCACCCCACCCCACCCCCCACCACCCCCCCCGCCCACCCCACCCCACCCCACCCCTTGAAGGGTTTATCAGTGTTGATCATTCCGCCTGTATGGTACCCTGATGGTTCCCCCTCCCAACCTAAAGGGTTGAATCCCCTTGAAGGGTTTCTCAGTGTTGATCATTTGCCGTGTAATGTTTGTTTATGATGGGGTTCCAGAAGTGACGCCTCAGTACCAATGGGGAAGTGGAAAATCGACTCGCCCTCGACGCCGAAAAGTGCTTTTTGTGTTGGAAGTGAGTTGATTTTTGGTGTTGGGAGTGAGTTCTTGGTGTTGGGAGTGAGCCGGTGTTGGGAGTGAGTTGATTTTCGGTGTTGGAAGTGAGTTGTTAACCTAAAAATTCCCTTTTTTCGTTCGGGGATTTGTCATCTCCGACATCACTGGAATGATTGTTGTTGGGGTTAGTATCCCAAAATTTCGCAAAATTTTGGTTGGTGAATCACGTCACAATACAGCCAGTATAAATTTAAAGTTGCCTGAAATGGTCCTCCGGGAATGTGCAAAAGCAAAAAACATTTTTTGGTGGCCGGGAGGTGGTGTCATTTGGAGCCATTGCGATTTAGGCTTTGACTTTCATTTTGAGGTGCTATTGATGAATCCAGAAAAAGACAAGAATGACATTTAAAAAAAATCCTTTTTACAAAATGATGTCAATCTCCAAGATGAATCTCACAGTAACCACGTTTGGATGACCCAGGAATCGTGACTGGTGACTAGTCATCATTCTTACAACCCACCCAACGCAGCAGAGACCTACCAACTAGAGTTATGAACCACCACTTAATATGTCTTAAGACATATATAAGTTTTTTAAGACAATTAAGTGGTTCTTATGCGATCTTCATGTGAAGAGGAAAATCCAGTCCACGCCAACTCAATCTGGGCCGCTGGGCCGGTGCATTGAGGCACAGATGCACAGCTCAGATTTTGTCTTTCGTATTTGGTAAACTCTTGAACGCCAAAAAGTCCAAAAAAAGATCCCATATGTTGGGATTGTTTTGTGTGTGTGCTTTGTTAGTAGACAGAGTTGGAGTTGCTGGAGATACGTTTGGTGTAGTGATCATCCCACTGACCGAGAAATGTCGTGGTAAAGCCAGTGATGTTAATGCTTGAAATCGGCCCCATGCATGGTAAAACTGGTGATGGTTTGTCTATTGTTGGCTTCACCACATTAGCATATAGGTTCTCTAACTTTGCTTCTACGATTTATACGATTTATATTTGGGATTGTTTGGGACACTAACCTAACCTACTAACCATTTCCCCCGATGCTTTGTAATCAAACATGGCTGGCAGGAAGTCGCTAATATTTATAGAATTCCCACCCAACCATGTTTGATGAAACAGAATGCTAATCCCATCATAATCCGCCTGGCTCCGATGAAACCATTCTTCTGCGAGGCGTTGATGGTGTTGGCAGTGTCTTGCTGTTGATGGCGGCTCCTGCTGTGGGTGATTTTTTTTATGGGCGACTGATTGGGGTCCACGGATCTGGGAGTCAGAGTCTATTTTCCCAAAGGCTGTCCAGTTTCATTTCAGATGATCCTGGATGATATCTCATGATGGTCTTCGATGATTATGGATGCCGATGGTAAACATGTGTGTGTGTGTGTTATAGTTGTAGATGACTTCGGATCTTTATATTCTACAGTAATGATTGTAGATGGTTTGTAGATGGTTATATGTAGCTCCATCTTCCCTTTTGCTTGATTAAATCAATGGGAATTCCAGGATCCTAAAATGGAGTACTGTACCATATAAGGCCATATTTTGTGGGGATATTCCCTTACCTAGGCCTTATATATGGTAGGTACCTCCAATCAATCGGTTCCTGAGTCATGGCCATTGATTAAAAGACCAAGTTTTGATGGTCCAATGCCCCTCCAACTCTGAGGATGCCAGTATTGCTGACACCAAGACGCCTGCTTGGACGGGTGAGGCCGCCTCACCACCTGGCTCTCTAATGAAGGGAGCGAGTAGAGCTACGAATTGAGTTGCCCAAGCACATGATAGCTGGATATAGCTGGATAACGTTGTTGTTTTTTGTTATGTGTCTGTGTGAGTTCCAATTTTTTTGAATATGGGTGTGCCGCACGAAAATGAGGTATACCTCCAATTATGGCCTCGGAAGATTCTGATAAACCACAGGATTTGGGGGTACCTGAGCCTTACTTGCAGACGAACTGAACACATAAGTGTTTTTTTTGGGGGTAGGGTAATCATCCAAGATTAGCCATGACAATAAATCACGGCTGTTGTGAAAAACCATGCAACATAGTTTAAAATCTTGGTTAGGAGTGATAGTAATTCATTCTTGTAAGTAGAGGAATGAACAAAAGCGAAAGGGGTTTATGCCGCCTACAATGCATACCTACCAAAAATGGGGCTGCAGACATGGGAGGTTAAGCAACAAGCGTGTTGAACATGCTGCCCGTGTTGGGAGAAAGAACCACTATTAAAATAATAAGGGTGTGCAACAACCATAAGGCTTTAGTTTTAGCGGCGCGTGATAACTAAAAACAGTAAACTGCTGACGATGAGCAATATAGCTGGTCTGTGGCTTTGTGATAGTTCGGCCTTTTTTGAGTGACCTTCCCAAACTCTTCAACACATTTCAACACATCAAATCTTGAGTTAGTTGCCCCAAGACTCTCAACAAAGGGCCCTTAACGGTTGATTTTCAGGATTGGAAACTTGAATAATTTGAATTTCAGTCATTCCAGTTCCAGTCCTTCGTTTTTATAGCAAGCTTCGTTGGTAGTGACAGGTTGCCTTGCCCTTCCAACACTTAGGAAGACATTGAAAGCCTCACTCAAGACATTTGATCCAAATTCGATCGAGACCGTCCATTATGCAATTGATTATGACCTCATGACCGTAGCATCACATGACTTGACAGCCGGTAGCTACCCGGTAGTTACATCCTGGATATTGCCCTGCGAGATCCCAGATCCATCCAGGATGGTTTGTCTTTATCCACATTGCCCTAAAAAGAGATCGTGAACCCAGGTAGTAAGTGGGTAAGAAGATGCAATAAGCATATTATACCACCAGTTACATATATATGTATAATAATAATATATATATATATATATCTAATATTTATATATATATATATATAATATTATTTGGGGCATAAACCACTAACTAAGTGGGATGCACATCCAAGTACGACACATGGACACTTTGGGTTGGGCCCCCAGAAAGGGCCGTAATGCCAGTTGGTAGAGTACATTATTGGAGGCCAATTTTAAAGGTTATGATCTTGATGGTGACAGGACTTGCAGGTTTTGCCATAGCCAAACTCATATGGGAATATCATGGAATTGTTAAACCCCTTTTCATCATCAAAAACTAAGGATTTGACCGGAGAATAGAGAGATAGTCTGAGATAGTCTACTATTTACCCCACAGGATTATATTTCAAGATCACAACCATCCAACTGGGACCAGGAGCTCGCCAGAGCAGGGGGGCCTAAGAGTCGGCACAAGGACTGGAGATAAATTTGGCCAGTGGCTCATGTTCACTCATTGGGAATCCTTAAATGCATTCACACAGATATGTGGACAATCCACTATTTGTAGATATTTTTCTGGTAACGGGGTTGTGATCACTGCCCCGCTTCTGTCAGATATATAGATGTTTTTCTTGGGAAACGATGAGTTTCCAAAACATATATATATATATCTTAGTTAGCTGGAGGGTAAGACTGAATTGTGAGGAGTTCAAACTGTCAATTCTGCAAGGGTGGCTAGGTTTGAGATAGTCTGAGGGTCCCAGCAGTTGTAACCAAAACCGCACGTGAAAGAGAGTGAAATCCCAATTGGTCCCAAAATTTGTTGGAGGGACAATTTACAGAACCCCCCTATATTCAAGGTGTGCTGTATTTTTGTTCCATGCAGCAGCTCCCAAAAAGCTAGAAATGTGATTTATGATGATTTATGAATATTGAGTAAAAAACACTGTTCTCCCTTTTCTGGGTGTTGCTAATCTATTGATGTGGCTGAAGTGGTTGCATTCCTGGCCCGGTTGCGGTTTTGGTTTCATCGACCCACATTGATAGTTTGCTCCACGATGCTAATGAGGACTCAACAGTTAAATGATATATGATTTGCGTAGATGCGTAGATACCCTCTTGTAAACTAACATAGCTATTGAAAATGGCCATTTATAGTGGATTTACCCATTAAAAATGGTGATTTTCCATAGTTACGTTAGTTTACCAGAGGGTATATGTAGATATTTTGTACATTGAGCCTAGATTAGATTGCAGCCACCAATGCTTATACTGTTCTTACGTTCATCTATTCTTTGTAGAAATAATATGTCTGTAAACAGTTGCTAAATCGCTGAAATTCAGAATTTCAATCAACCACCGTTTCGACCACCCCTCTGTTCCCTTCTTTTCGAGGTCACCAAAGAGCACCTGCCGACGATGTTTGAACTCCTGTGCAACTACAATGCCCTTCAGGCGCCTCTGCATTTGTCAATTACTGGGAAATAGCACCCTTTATTATGGCAGCCCAAAAAGATAGACAAGTAAAATCCTAGCAAATGATCTAATGGTCACTTTTCTATATTTTTTTTGAGGGGCACGTAATATGGCAATTGAAATGGGAAAGAAAATAGGGGCACGACAATTGTATCATTATATTTTATTGAGCACAGAAAATGTTGGATTTACATGCGATTTAACCAGATATTGGATGGTATTGGTTTTGTTCACAATAATGGGGTATACCATGTGGATTGGTCCAGACAGAGGAGATTTGAACATAAGCGTGGATGCAACTGATTTAAGCGACAAAAATGGTGGTCTGCCTCTGTGGATAAATCAGAAATTCATGTTCAGATAAACCCAAGACCAGCAAGAAGTGTCTTTGGGTGTTCAACCTCATGTGGAGTCCAAATGGCTTGCTAATGATATTAATGGGTATCCGAAATCGAATCCTTTTTTTTTGGTCTTAGACGCAATTTGAGGACCACATCCCACATAGAGATACATAGAGAAGATCAGCCTTCACAGCAGAGAAACTTCGGACATGAAAATAAGCTTCCAACCACTATTTTCAGTGTTCCATACATTGCTGTTTGGTGACATCAATTTTGCTTCCAGAACTGATTAAGCCTGCACTTCCAAGGTGCAAGTGACTCCCTTGCAGGTGACTTCCTTAACAACTTTGGTGACTGGTTGTTCAAGTGGATCATTCACTAGTTACACCTCAAAAGAGGTCGTTTGAACGAAAGTTGCCATCTGCGGTGATGGGTGTCCTGAAAGTGAAGATTGCGAAGGATTCAATCCATACAAGCTCAGCCAATATAACTTCAGTTTCAGTGTGTCGCTTCTACAGAGAACTTGTATTCGTGCTATACTAATTAAGGCCATATAAAGAATCAGCCCACCAGTAGGTATAAACTCATTAACTCACCAATTGAAACAACCTAATTATTGGACTCTGTTGGAGTTACGCAAACCTTTGAGGATCTTTGGGTATTTTTCGTGTTTCCATCCAGGATGAGAGCATGTTCCATCTCATCAAGGGCATTGAATTGCTCATCCGAGCGCAGCATCGTGTCTTGGTTTGGTTAAATCGCTCCACCTTGTGGCATCAACAAAATATGGCCTCAATGGCCCAAATTGGAGGTACCGTACCTACCATATATAAAGCCTATATGTTCAGGCCGATTTTTAAGGGGATATCCCCAGAAAATATGGCCAAACATATGGTACTAACATAATCTAACGTACCTCCATCTGTTGGATCCTGGAGATCTCCCATTGATCAAAGTGCGCCGTGATTATTGGGTACATTAACCATCCACCAATGGATATTTTTCACGGGACATGTTCTGCCAAGTTAAATTACCAAAGGGGATTGCACTGATTCCTACAGCCATTCCAACCAAGAGGTATGTCAATGTAGAAGTGCCACAGAACCATCCATCCTTCCCTTGGGGCAGCTGTGGAGCAGCACTGGAATGATGGCTAGTAGGGGCCCAGGGGCCCGCTTTTTCACAACGTGACTTGATTGTATAGTTTATCCAGATAGAAAATGGTAGAAGGATCTCTTTTCAGTCTCACTCTTGACTGAGAGCCAAATACTCGTCTGGCTCATCCCAAAATAAAACAGTGGTCAATGTTCGGGTTGAACTGACGCGTCTAGATGGTGTCATTACCTGCTTCAAAGGTGATGGTTCCCATAAACTGATATGAACTGGACATCACCATGGACAAACAGCTGCAGCTTGTAATCCCACCAGCTTTGGCTAGGTTTGGCTAGTATACATCCCCACTATTCAAACCATTCGTGTGGATTTGTTGTTCGTCAAATCCCATTGACCGGAGATGACGAACCTTTCCGATTCGGGGAATAGATGGGAAATGTCCATTTTTGACGAACCCTAAATCCATATTGCTGGTGAAATACCCATCCCGCTTCATTTTGTCACGATGTTGGTTACTTCCATTTTTTCTTGGATAGCCTGGATAGCCATAAATCCGGTCAAATCCTCATTTTAAGTTGATACCTCGTTTTGCTGCTTGAATCCCCACGTACCATTGAGTTAGTTGAATGCCCAGATTTGAACCGATCTCAGTGATCTCCGAGGCTGGCAGCCGCGGGAGCCGCGAGCAGTGCGACACAGACTCCATCACTCAATCGACTGCTCCCTGGCGGGGTTTGCAGGGTCCCAAGTTGATATCATGGGGGAAAAAATATTATTATATATAATATAAAATATAAATATAATTTATAAGATATTATATATATATTATATATATATATCATGTGGGGGATAGATATGATGATTATGATTCCTAATGATGACTTGGCAAGAGGTCTGACTTGAAATCTGCTAAGACGGCAAAACATCCTCGAATCTTGCAGTCGTCAACAAGCGTGGTCTCTGGCACATCGGAGAAATCATTGGTTGTGACGTGGTTGTGCCTGGCACACAAGGCGAAGTCAATCGGACTTAAAGGTCTCATGTTCATCGAGCACAATCCAAAATCCGCGGCTCGCACTTGGATCCGACGAGTCAAAGGACTCTCTCTCGAGACCTTGCAGAATGCTATTAAATAATGCGGATATCATGGGGATAATGATTCATAATAGTAACAATGATAAATCGTAAGTATGGTAGAACCATCCGGTGTCATCAGACATGGCTGGGAAATTCCCGAACTGAATATTTACATGGAGGTTTATAGCTGGGAGTTTCATCGAACAAAAGGGGGTTCTGCCAGTAAGCCATGTTTGATTACCATTACCAGAGGGTAACTCAATCACAAATTGAATATCACCAGTAAAGAATGAAATTCATGGAGGCTTCACCAGCATGACATGGTGATCTATGGGGATATCATGCATATGACCGACAATGTGAACCTAGGAGGGCATGGTTACGGTTCAAAACCTATCGTTATAATACCATAGTTGGGAGGGAACGTCCAGGTATACCAGCAGTTTGAGGCCTCACCAGGCTACCAGCGTGGAATATGACCAATCATGCGTATGTCTGAGAATGGGAATGGACTGTACGGATCTATACGGTATAAAAACCAAAATGGCATTTCAATCATCGAAAATCATGGAAAATCATTGAAAACATCGGTGAACTTTTGGGGTACCTTCTGGTAATTTAACATAGCTATTGAAAATGGTCCTCTTATAGTTGATTTTCCTATTCACATGATGATTTTCCATGGCAAACTGTTAGTTTACCAGAGGGTACCCGGCAAACATGGGTTTTCCATTGGTTTTTCCATTGTGCTAAGGGTACAAGAAAAAAATACCGTTTGATACCTTTTTCCATGGTATTTAAACCAATGTTATATCATGTTATATAAACCAATGGTTTTTAAACTGTGCATGGGTTTATAACATGGGCTTTAAAAAACCTAGTTTAAAAACTATTAGTTATACATCGTCTATATACATGTTATATACCGTTTTTAAACTGGGTTTTATAAACCCATTTAATTTACCTATTTTTCCATGGGTTTTGGGACGTGTCTGCAAACCACGTCCGCCTGGGACCTCTGCACTGCGACCAAACGCCTCGTGACCGAAGCCTGGAATCATGCTGGGAATCATGGTGGGAATCATGGTGAATGGAAAAAGGGGGATCATCCTTTGATTTACCACTTTGATGGCTTCGAAACTTAGATGACCACTAAGAAAAAATATAATTCTAATTTACAGTTTTCAACTTTCGAAAAATTATAATTTACCCAAATTTGACCACTTTGATGGCTTCGAAACAGGTTCGTGGTTCGTCACAAATTGAGATCAATTGTATAGCTGCCTGGATTGGGGTGTTTTTCAAAGATCCTGATTCCGGATCCACCATAGTTTTTTTTTGACAGACAACAAAATGTGTTTGATCATGTCGCAATCATGTCCTGAGCTTTGGGTCGGTGTCGTTCGCTTATCAATGTGATAGAACCTGCCTGACAGATTGTTTGGAAATGGAATTACCCACACCCAGTTGTACAAGATTTCTGATATAACAGATATGTTGATATCAGATTATATATTTCTCAGCCAGCTGGTATTTTTGTAATTTATGTAATGGAAATTTCTGAGCTGTACCAACCTCTATATGGGAGATTTCCAGCTCAGGAGCACTGAACAGTGCAATTCGTCAGGACATGTCAGGGCGTTCAGGACACCTTCAGGACACCTTCAGTGCTTACCTTTCCACCAGAACTGGTGGTAGGAAATGACGCCAGGAATGACTTAACATATCTTAACATGACATTGTTTGATGATGTTGCAATGGATTGCAATCGTGATTTTCTCTTCGCAAACTGTAGGTGCTGAGATTATTGACCCTAGAACATGGATGGTTAGATAAATGCCCAGTCATGTAGGTGTAGGTAAAATGCTAATTGCACCATGAATGCTGTGAGTATTCGGGCTATCATGTCCCCATCCTCCTTGGGAATCTACCAACATCCCAAGGCACCCCAAAGGAATACACGTTTCTCCTATATTGGGCCCCAATGTATGGAATTCGTTCGCTGATTTCTGATGGTGATTTCACTGGTAATGTCCCGACAAGGAAGACTTTGACTCCCAAAGATGAGTTAGAACTCTGGTTAATTGCATCCCTATGCTGGAAATCAAAACCAGTGATGTCTTTCCTTCGACTGTTATTTAGGCTTTATCTGAAAATAGGGTACCCCTCGAATTTGATGCTTGATCATCATTTTCCCAAACGTAAACAGACCATTCTACAGACACACCCAAATTGTATCAAATATCATGTTAAGTTGACTATGTATTATATCCCCATTATATCCCCATTATATCATCATATTTGTCGGCTAAAATCCCGGTTTGGTTGGTCATAATTCACAAAATACCAATTGTTTCCTCGTAAACTGGTTATTTTCTTAAAAGTTTAAATCCTGAAATCCCCATATGCCCACTACTCCTTCGGCTGACCGGCTAAGTTTGCTGTCGCAGCTTGGTGTCCATCAGAGGGCCAGTACCTCAGTGGTCGGATAACCAACAAGAAATGGAGAGGGACCAATGATCTTTTTCTGGATATGTTGGGCCCCGTAAAGTGTACACCGCATCATTTCTGTTGTATTGCCAAAGAAGAGGGACAACACTTGATTTTGGATTGGTATTGGTTAAAACCTCTGGGCAGAATATTTGGTGAAAGTGAAACCCCCGCACTCAGCAAGGTGGGTGAGTCCTTTTTTCCAAAAGGTGTGTATGATTAGAAACTGGAGCCAGAAACGCCAGTAAGAAATGCGTTCTGTCTTCTATCCATTGGGAAAAACAGTGCCAAAAAGTACCAACAAAAACATGGCCATGGGATTTAGGAACTGGTTCAAAAAATAAAATCCCACCAAAAAAATATAATTAGGTCCAAGACCCAAAAGCAGTTTTGTAATGGTCCTTTTTCCAGACTGGGAAGGCATTTTGTAGGACTCAGTTTAGATGGGTTTATTCTGTTGCTGGAAGTTGGCCAAAACCACATTTGTAGCTACAGAAGAGTAGCTCCAAGTTACCCTTGGAATGTGCAACCCCGATCAATTCTGCATAAAAGCTATAAATTATAACGACCTCACTACAACCTCGCCATAGATGATTGTTAGGTAACTATCCCAAAATTGGCCTTACTTCAGGCTTGTGAATTAGTGTAATTTGCCCAGATACATATTATATATATATACATACATGAATATCTACAGATACACCTGGGTAAAAGACATGCAAGCTCCGGAGGTTTCAAAAGATGGCATCAGGAATTGACACATGTGCATGCATGTGAAAAAGATCCTGGTTTAGTAAGATGGATGTTGAGTGGTAAAAAATGGGAAGTTATAGAGATTACTATTTGGGCATGGATCAAGCTAGTAACTAGTAAACATCACCCGGTTTGATCTATGGGTTAGCCATATCCATATGTGCCATGGTCAAAAGATTGTCTAGCTTCCCAAAAAAGATTGTCATCCTCCAAAATTACACACCAATGGCGGAATCCCATTCATGATGGTGGGATGAACAGTATCCATGTCATTAATCCCATCTTACTTGACCATGTTGGACATATTTGGACATGTTGAGTTGGTTCTATATTCCCCAGAATGGAGTAAATCCCTATTTTAGTTGGTTAACATGTCCCATTATGTAATGCGGGATTATAAACTATAGGTGTGTCTGAACATGGGCATATGTGTACCCAAAATTACTCCTTTAAGTATGGAACGTGATAGCACACCATTGGATTTTGAGGTACCTTATTGTCAGACGAAGCCCTATAGTCAATGGCGCTTATACCAGCTATACACCATAGTAGTGCTTGTGCCCCATAGGCAAGTTGTGTTGTACCATAGTTATGAGGTGGCACCCCAGTATACCTCATCAATGCTAATACACCTGGGGTTAATGATGGACGCATCTATAGTTGGTAGTGGTTATAAATCAACAAACATAGCTGGGGGATATGAATCCCGGATATGTACATGATTATGTAACAATGTATGTATATATAGATATATAACGTATGACTAATCTGGGTGTGTTTGAACATTGGATATTGTCACCAGGTTTAATAGAGAAATGATGATGCACCAGCGGATTCATATTTAAATTTTAGGGGTACCCTATTTTAATGTTCGTCAAAGCCATACAGTATCATGATATGTCTATAGTAACACTTAAATAAGTGGGTTTGTAGACCAACTTACAACTGGCCCTTCTGAGGATAGATTGTGTTTGGATTGTTGGATTGCTGGTCTGAAGTATTACTATGCTGGGGCTTGAGAATTCATGAGAATTCCAGATATGTTCTTTGCTGTTTGCCATTTCAAAGTCAGAAAAAAACATTCAAAATGTATTAATTTAGCCTTTCTCTGTCGGCTAAATTCAAATTGCTGGGTATTCTCTTCATCCTTGGTGATTCTATGCCCATTACCCTCTGGTAAACTAACATAGCTATAGAAAATCACCATTTTAATGGGAAAGTTCACTATACATGGGCCATTTTCAATAGCTATTTTGACATAACCAGAGGGTATTGTTGCTTTTTTGACAGCATTTTATATGGGTCACGGATGGTCAAAACTCAAGACCCAGAAAAAACCATCCAAAATGGGACCCATGGTGAATGGATGACGTCACTGGTAGAGGGAAGCCTGAAATCACCGCACCGGCACCAGGGTAAATGTGTTTCCTATACCACCATTATACCATTGTAACCATTTAAAAACATTGTATCCATAAATAAATACCAATCATTTGAAGCCGATTTGACCCAGAGCTATATATCCAGAGTATTCCAGAATCCAGGAGATCGAGCCCAGGCTACACCCTCAGGACCTGATTCAAAGCTTGAAACGCTTCACCTTCAAGGTCCTTGCAGCATCCATCGCAAGTGATGGTTTAATTCATTGGGAAATGGGTCAAAATTTAAGACGCGGAGAACAATAATTGTTTGTTTGTTTGTTTGTTTTTTTTATGTGTCCACTTACAGTATACAATTCTTATAAACATACTTGTGACCTACACCTACATCAGAACGGTTGATTTGTCAGGCCCATCATCCAATTTATATGCAAAGTGTGTTTAGGATCCTTTTGTTTTCGTGCTTGGCGATATGCAGCGTTTTGAGGTAAACGAGGAGTGGCAGATTATTTGATGGTGATTGTTCCGACCTCGACTCCAACTACTAGTTAACTACCTCTCTCTCTCTCTCACAGGTGGTGTACATAAGTATATGATATATAAGTATATGCGTTTCAACATCATGTGTTTCGTTGGTGAAACAACACCTGGCAGATTAATCAAAATGCTCGTGGATCCATGTCATCCAAGCGTTCAGAAGAGAGGGAGACCAATCGGAAGACATTTACCATCTGGTTATTTAACATAGCCATGGAAAATGGCCCAGTTATAGATGGTTTACCTATTAAAAATGGTGATTTTCCATGGCTATGTTAAATAACCAGATGGTAAATGTAATGGCTCTACAATTAGGGAACAGAGTTGATGTTTTTTTTAATGTTTTTTTTCACGCGAGATTGATTAATCAATTGTTTGTCCAGCTGACTGATTTGCTCCATCCTGGTTGCGAGATTAAGCAAGTTATTATTGACACAGAAACCTAAGAAGGCCATCCTGGAATGTCGATGCGTTGAGATGATTTTCTTGTTGGACATAGACAGTGTGGGTTTCTTTGTTCGATTTAGTGTGCATGTAGACATGATATTTCTATATCTATACAACATCAATGTAATGTGACTGTCATACATGAACTCCCATATAGTAGATTTGCTTAATCCCTACCGCCTCAAATTAAATACCGCCCAAACGAAACTTTGGTTTAGTATTGGGTTTGTTCATGAATGGGGGGACCAGTCATGAGTATATACTTGATATTATATATTGATATATTGTCTGTATATCTCCCATTTTCATTCTGATAAAAACGATCTTAAAACACATTCTGGATGGTGAATCCCTCCCGCATTATACTAATACATCTAATACGGTTCTCCCGCCCATTTTGTAGATGACATATCCCCGAGCCTAGTGGGTCAAATCCTCATGGTGTCGGTCAATGATATGGCAGGTTCATGTGCGGGCCAGAATCTGCAGTCGCCTGTGGTTCTTTCTGCTCGAAAAGACGACCTTGTTTGCACAGGCGAATCCTATGACTCTTTGCCATCGCTGGGTAAACGTACTCAACGCGGGGATTTACCACCCAAAATGGAGTATGGAACCAACCAGAGTCCGGGATAATATATTGTGGATATAACTGACTATATAGTGGTATGATGTGGGTGCTTTTGGCATTGTTTAGGGGAACATGTGGTTTTAACCACCACACCTTCTGATATAGAATAAAGAACAGGTGTATTTTACCATGGAACACCTAGGAAGAACAACTGGCGAAGGGCAGTTAGTCAACTTTAGAACATTTGCTATTTTGACGGGGACACCAACCTAACCAGCTAAAAGTTAAGTGTTTTACAGGATATCTAAGCTTGTGATGGCATGGTCCCCAAAGTTTGGATAAGAAAAATGGTCGTCATTTAGTAGCAGCCCTTGTCTGTAAAGCTGATGTTTGGAAATGTGTCCTAATCTATTTCAATATGTTCAATATGAGAAATTTTGGGCTTCCTCATTCTGGCTGATTGCGCCCAGTGCTTTAGCAGTCTCCATTGCCTTTGTCCAATTTTGCTGACATGGGTTGCATCAATGTCAGCAGTCACAGCCAGCTGGAGGAGCTGGATTGCATCAAAGTCAGCAGTCACAGGCAGCTGTGATGGATGCAAGTGCAGCTTCTGCTAGTGCAACTGCCCGACTTCCCAAAGTGCAGAGCCTCAAGCGTGAGTCAAGCAGTGGACCTGGAAGTTTGCAGAACAGGCAGCCTTCAATGCCATCAGAAAGCAAAAAGGCATGAAAAGGGCTGCAGCACCTGGGTTTCCCCGGCAAGACCTACCACCAAAAGCAATGCCGAGATGAGAACCTTTGGCTGAAATTCCCATCTCTCAACTAATTATCCTGGGCCAGGGTCTCTTTTTGGCGACTAATTCCTCCCAGCCGCAAGGGGGTTTAATTCCTTGAATGGTGGAGAGATTCCCAACTTTCTTGACAAAGCTGCTGGATAGCCGCATAGCCGCATAGCCTCGAACTGCTTTCGATCATCTCAGCACCCAGAACCTCAAAATGGCTAGATTCAAGAATTGGTCTAAAATCTCAAATATAAGTGGATTTTGTCGGAAAATGAGGTAGACCTCCGAAAATGCCTTTTTCTATTGATGGAACATGAGGATAAACCATCAAATTAGAACAAGATCAAAATGCACCCTGAAAGTCAAACGCTTATTGGCTTATTTTGGCTGCGATAGTGAACATGCACAAAGCACTCAGGGGTAGCGTGAGTCATTCAGAATGTTGCGGCAACGAACTCTGATCTGAAATGAACCACATTCACCAAATATATTCATCTCGATAACACAACAACTTTCCATCATGTCAATGGGAGCCAACTTTTCTGAGTACTGTGATTAAGACGATGTTTGTTTCAGACTTGTTTCGGACAGTTTCCATAAAAAGAGTTGACTTGTTCCATCTCGCTTTTATATTATTATATATACTGTTGATCCTGTCCCATGTTCCTATGTATGGTTGGTAAATCCCCATTTCAGACAACTCGCATCATATTGTTGGTTTTATCTCTCATTATCACAATTTCCCTCCTGATATCCCCATTCTTGCTCATACATACTCATTATATCCTCAAAACATGTTTTTGTTGGATGAATCCATGTTTGTTGATTCAGTCCCCATTTTTGATAGTGAAATTGGATAATTGGGATATTCCATGATATTCCCTGCTGGTTGGTTTTATTCCAAATCATATACATACATCCCCATCATATCGCCATCATATCCCCATCATATCGCCATAGATACGTTGATTTTCCAAGATTATATTCCGATTATATGCCCATTATGTCTCCAATGTTGTTTTTGTTGGTTGTCACAAATATTACCCCATAAAAACCCTCTGGTAATCAAAAGTTGCAATGGACAATCCACTATTAATAGATGATATGTTCCCATCCAGGCTTCATGGCTACGGTTGACTACCGGTATAAGAATGCCCGCAGGCTGCAGCCAAAGCAGTGCAAAAGCGTCAATGGCAGCGAAGAACTAAGGCCGGCCACAGGTCAGAGACGTTGTAGGTGATATTCTCTAGTCATTGAGCATCACTGGTTGGTGGTTTCAAACATTTTTTATTTTCCATAATAAGTCATAATATATGGCATAATCCTTCCCATTGACTTTCATATTTTTCAAGATGGTTAGAACCACCAACCAGATCATTTAGCATAGCAACAAGGTGAGGCCCCCTCTTTTCGGTAGCGAGATGTTGACTTACACCTTGGTCAACTCTTGGGTTGATGAATGGGGGGCCCTCACCTGCTGATTTTCCATAGCTAGACTGTATTACCAGAGGGTATTGTACTTCTTGCTGAATATATATATATATAATGTCTATAAAATAATAATGATAGATTTTGATATGATGTATATATGTATTTATTATCTATTAATTTATCTATCAATGGATCTATTGGTTTATCTATCACTTATCTAGAGAGAAAGGTAGAACGTATACCTACTGTTTTAGATATTGGTTCGACACATCAGCCATGGTGCCACTCAGTAGCAAGATCATTAAGACCTTCACTACCTAATTTCCATCTTGATGTTTTTACTGCCTATCCTGGTATTTTCCGACCAAAAACATGTTTTGTTTTGTGAAGACGGCAAGGGCAAGGTTTGCTGAGCATGGATTGATATACGCATGTCATCTGGCCAGTCCTGGATTCTGCAAGGACGATCCCGGTTTCGATTCGGTTCTTTATACATTAATGTCAACCCTGGATTTTCATAAACCCCGTTTACGGCTGTGACTATTTGGGAGGGTACCATAAAAAGTATTAGATGATTTATGACTAGTGGAGGAGCACCCCCCAATTCATAAACCATGGTTTATTAATCCGGGGTTGACATTACCACTCTTATAACAGTTGGAGCCCCAATTAGAAACTAGTTACGATCCGTTGAGTGATCCTCCAACTCTGTAGGTATCCCACGGTGGTTTCTTGGAATTGGACGCTGTGGTAGCTCAAGCCATCAGGCATCCAAGGAAGCAAAACAGGCCTGGGAAGTGGCATGTGAAAGCCCTGTACCTGAGGGTGCCTCCCATGCAATGTAAGGGGATAGACCATCTTACATCCCAGTTGTATCTTGGGGGGTTGTTCAGTATGGCTGATAAACCACTTACTGACTGGGATGCACTTACTTCTCTGTATGGCGTGGATGTCTTGTTATGGGAATGGCTAAATACATCATATTCCTCTTAATACCATAGATTCCCAATATTTGGTTCATAAAAATCCTACCAAAGACTGCAGTATTCTGTTCATGGTTTGGCTGTTAATCAGGGTAGATGGTGTTGACCCAGAACCACGTCGACGCATTTGAAGAACCGTATGTAAGGATATATACATGTATAGTATATATAGTATAGGTATATAGTATGTATGTATATATATATATACATATAGTATGTATTATATGTGTATATATAGTAAATAATTACTATATTATATTATATTATATTATATTATATTATATTATGTTATATTATGTTATATTATATTATGTTATATTATATTATATTATATTTTGTTATATTATATTATATTATAATAACATTATATTATATTTTACTATATGATATTATATGATATTATATTATATTTTACTATATTATATTATATTATATTATATTATATTGTATTATAATAATATTATATTGTATTTTACTATATGATATTATATGATATCATATTAAATTATATTATATTATATTATATTATAATATATTTTACTATGTTATATTATATGATATTATATGATATTATATTATATCATATTATATTATATTATATTATAATAATATTATATAATAATAATATATATATTATATATATTATATATTATATATATATTATATATATTATATATATATATTATATACGCATAGTTTTCATACGTATATCAAACGTGGTTGTTTCTGGAAACTTGTTCATGTTTCTGGCCATGATGCTGAGTTTTCCTGTGGTGAGTTTATAGGAATTTGATTCATGGTTGGTTGGAATTAAAGCGACTTGATGATGTATCAAGGAGTATCACCCACCGTTGCTTGCTATCCCTGGTGTAAAGCTTATGATATGACCCGACTTGGTCGCAGCTTATGCTTTTATACGAAGCCCAATCAGCAACTGGCAGGGTTGGCTTTATGGGATTTGTCCAAACAGGGGGACACTTATGGCACTTATGGGATACTGAAGATCCCTCATGTCATGGTTTGTCAGGAGGCGAAACCAAGACTTTGTGTGTTTGCCTACTTTTTGGACAAAGCCAGAGCCATAGTATCAATTCAAGGGCAATAGCAACAGCAACAACAACAACAACAACATTTGCGTATACTGTAGACACTACTTCATGCTGAAAGTTTGACCCATCCCTTTTTTGTGGTGAAGAGGCCCACTGGGCTGACCTGGAAGACGATTGCCGCTGGGCAAACTTGAAGTTCTGCAACCCACAATGGTGAAACCGGAAACAAAAAACCGGAAGCCACTGCAGTGCAGTGATGATTCTTTTATGTCATTTGTGGGTTACAACTCAGCTTGTGCTAACTATGATCCTTGACTCACCATGAATGCCGATATCTATATTTTCAAGCAGTTGCTGGGATGGGCCCTAATAGCCAGCAACTGAGGACACATGAAACCATGAAACGACGATATCCAGCCCACGGAGGCCAAGCCTCAATTTCCGATCTGAAATTTCCTGGAATCCTGGATATTCAAACTGCACTTGCCAACCATTCACAAACTATATAAAAGGAGTATCCCAGTGGATTTCGGGGAGTTGACTGATGGTAGACTTGAACAACCATTCGTATATATATATATATATGACTATGCAAAGATTATTAGGGTGGCAGGGCCATTTTGGCAATCAATGACACGGTTTAGTTCTATGAAATTTAGGAGGTGAGTGAAAGCCTCTTCTTTTTTGAAGACACACACGCACAAGCGCACACCCGCACACACACAAACTAGTCACATAAACTAGTCACATAAACTAGTCACGTAAAGTAGTCACATAAACTAGTCACGTAAAGTAGTCACATACCTGCGCATTCTCACAGTGGTATTGTGCTCGTTCAAACCTGGATGACCTCCACATTGTGAATGTCCAAGGCTTGTTGGGTTTCTCCTCTCAGAAGGTTTGTTTCCCCAATCCTGCAAAAAAAAGGGTCAATGCTTAGCGCAATCTTGGAGCATGTTGCAGGAATGAACTTTGGCAAAGCGGTTAGAGATGGTTCGAGTACACATCAGTTATCCTCCATTGAAGAGGTGGTGAACACACTCATTAGGCTTTGAGGTGCACTTTGGACCCACGCAGTCGGATACTGCAGACTAGACCGAGAACTTCGGCTATCCTCTCATGAACAGTCGATAAAGCTTCGGCCTTCATAGAAGACTGACTGGAAATGTGGAGGGACAACTGTATAAGCCAAGTCATACAATGTGGCCCCCCCCAGTTATAAGTTGGTTTATCATGGTTTATCAACCCCATTAGCTATAGTTATAATATGTTATAATATGTTATAATATGTTTTGATTATAATAAACCATAGCTATTGGAGTTATAAACCAACTTAGCTATCTAGCCCATAGGATCCATGTATGCTATATATGGTAACATTTACCATCAATATACCCCCAATGTTAGCATATATACCATACATGGATCCTATGGGTAGGGGGCCCCACATTGAAGTGACGTTTTCTGCCATCCTGCCATGGGCCGAGGACCGCCCTCGCGTCGGGAGCCGCCCCGGGAGCCTGACGCGAGGACGAATCGTAGGGATTCGATGATGTCACCGGCAAAGGGTGTGGGTTTCTCATGGTTTATCAATGATTCTGTATATATATATATATTAAATACACATATGTTCTATATATATATATATTATATATATAGGTATCGGTATGGGTCAATATGATTCACCAAAATGAGTAAATTACCATCCCAATAGAGACTATTCGGGCGCCAGGGATTTGACCCATAGTTGGAGAATTCCGAGGGCCACCAAATGGTCGACCAACCTCCATAAATCAGTGTGTATATATTATAGTAGATGGGACACCCTTATCAAGCAAAAAGAGATACATTGCTAACAAGCCTTTTTTTTTTGGATTTCATCAAATAAAAGCACAGCAATTCAGCCGAGAAGCACAGCAATTCAGCCTAGTTCCAGGGCCAGTTCACTGGTTTCCTTGGGGATTGATGGCTCGGCGGCTAGGTACTGATGGCGTGAGCCACCACTGAAAAACATCCCATGGTCCATGGTCGCTTGGAAAATCTTGTTCCTTTGAGGCGTTGGTTACATCCCATCATTCCCATGCTGGTTGAATCCTGACTTTTAGATACTTTTAGATGACTTCGGTTGTTGCTGGAAAGATACCCTCTGGTTATGTCAAAATAGCTATTGAAAATTGCCATTTATAGTGGATTTACCCATTAAAAATGGTGATTTTCCATAGTTATGTTAAATTACCAGAGGGTACTGTATATATTGATCACATTTCAGCAACAGGTTTGCACTTGTTGCACCCTGGTATCATCGCCTCAACGTGCAGCAACCGCCTGCCAGGACTACACTTCATAAGCGCGGTATACTCCAAAAAAAGTGGAGTGTTGGAAGACCTAGCTGAAAGCATCATCATTTTCTGTGTCACAAATCTCTCCACTTTGTCAACCAAAAGGTGCTTTGACATGATTTGAGCTTTGCTAGGGCTCGCACGATTTGCTGCCAAGGCAATTTATGTCTCACAAAAAAATAGATGAATCTACATCAGGATACTTGGGGCGCCGCATTGGAAGAGAAAGAACGGAGAAATGTAGCTAAATCTTGTTCAAACTGTGACCTGCTGGATTGAATACCATATTATACTCATATTACCCAAATTTTGGAATTGCCTCATGCATACTTGGGACCACCAGCCAGTTGCGTCTTTTCTTACACTTCTGTGTTGCTTTGCTGCGGCGCTCCACGAGAATGATTTAAGCAACTCAGATCGGGGGCATCTCAGACCACTGTCGGATGACTCCCCGCGGACTGCCTCGCTTTGGCGGGGCTCAGAGCGCGGATTGCGACGGGCTCAAAAGTCAATAGAATCTGCGCCACACAGGGCAATGAAATAGTCAACATGGTGTGGGTGCTTTTCAGGTCTCACAAGGGCCCCCCAAGTTGCAAGTTGAACCTGACCCCCATGAAGAAATTTGATATATATATGTTAGTGGACTGTTTTATCTCCAGGTATTTATATGTATTTATAAGATTATAGATTGGGGGTCAAACCCGTTTACTCGTGACTAGGTGTGATGAACCACGAAGCATGTTGATTTCTACAGGTTAAGTGTAAGCCCGTGCGTTGCGTGTGTTGCGCCGCTGCGCCTGAGACGCCTCAGACCTGGCAGTCAAGAAACATGAAAAGGATACAGTGGATGAATAGCCGGGATGGCACTGCAGGACCGTCCTGCGAGTGTGCTGAGTTTGGTGGAAACGTGGAAACATATGGATGAACTCATGAAGGCAAATACACATATATTTATATACATCCACACTGCACGATGGTCAGGGCCCCAATGGTGGCTAGATGATGTGAGGTGACCAGACCCCGTGTTTGGTACTGTATTTTAAACCATTGTGCAACAATTGCCATTTACCCGAAGCAGCCAGCATTGTCACGTTAACACAGGGTTGTTCCAACTCATTGTAGGTAAATGATAGCCACAAAGGAGGGTAAATGGGTCATTTTACCTCTATGTTTACCCAGTTTACCCCCCTTGCATGGGGTGCTTGGAGCAATCTGTTGACAGGAGTCAGACCCCCAGAACAAACTGTTTTGAATGTAGGCGGATAAAATCCTTAAAATGTTTCAAGGTCTGCAAAGTGGGCCGCTCTAGGTAAGATCGTTTGTAGCTAAGCTAACTGCGGTTTACAGTGGATTTTGTACAGTTGGATGTGTTTATAAACCAACTTCCCCTCTGTGGGGGTGAAGAGAAAATGCCTCTCTCTTCGCAGCACACTGCGGCCGCATCCACGGCTGTGTTCTACAGCAGCTCTAAGACTCGGACCTGTGGCGTGGTCCCCGGAAACCATGGCATCGCAACCCAAACGAGTCCAAGGTCCAAGTCGTTGCTCCTCCATGTCGACAAAGGTCATGATGATCAGCATGAATCATGATGGTTTGTGAATGTGAGATCGTGGGTCAGCTTCAGCCAACTTGTTAGAAGTCAGTTGGGTCAGTCCGTTTTATGGCTTGTTGGGTGCGAGTGCGGGTGTCCCTGATCTCTCTCTCGCTCTCTCGGCGATCTCATTTGATCTCCAACTGGCGCAGCTGGGTGTGAAGCATAAGGATCATAAGGGCCCCGAGAATCAACCTCAAACGAAACCAGGTCGCTTACCCCTATTAAGAGAAATATGATGAAATATGTATTATATGTTATATGTCTAGTATTTGGAAACGACAAAGGCACATTGATGGTTGATACTGGGGTAGCCATCACTTCAACCGTTTTTCACCAGGCATTTTCAGGCGCACATGCTTTTCTCAGAGCATCGCTGAAAAGTCTTTAAAGTCCCAAGCCACTCCAAACTTGGGATTGGCCCGGTTGTTGATAATATACATATGATAATATATATATATATATGTGATAATATATTCAACAAGGAATCCCCATGTCTTTTTTGTTTTCGTGAATGCCCCTTCATGACCTTTGTGGAACCACCAGCGACGCACCCTGCGCCGGCCTCACAGGGGGGGGGGCGGCAAGCCAAGCCTCGCCGCCTCGCCCAATGCATCACGAAAATCCGTCGACCAAGCTGGGATGATTTGAAGTTTACAACTCGTTAGTACAATTCGTGAGCTCCAAAGATAAGTTGCTTTATAAACCCATTAACTATAATTATATTCCCCATAAACATCATAAATCCTAGTGAACCAAGTTATATAAGTCAAGTATTGGCTATCTAGGCCTCACCTTGTATACCTGGATGAAGCCTGAGTCCCAAGACAAAAGTACAGAGGCGACAATTTGTCAACCCATTTATGAATCACTTCCGAACTTCAAAATCATCCGAACGTGCAGAAGGTGTGTTGGGACAGCAGCCAGCAAATTCCAATGGATTTTGAGGTTCAAAATTTGGTCACTGCATTCGATTGTGAGTGGAATCCACTGGACATATGTTACCTCTTTGGACAAGCAGGTATGGTTCATGGATTTTCTCAGCACAACATTGGATGAATTTCCATGGATTGCTGTCGGCACCCAAATCGAGTCATGCACACACGTGTTTCTTGAGCCCTTTGTGGACTTACGAACGCGATGTGGGTGACTTCCAGAAGTTGTTTATGGAACCTCAAATTTACAAAACAAAATTGATCCAAATTATATGAATTTGTCATGTTCAACTTACAGAAAAACTATAAAACATTACAAAACTATCGTTTAAATGCATCTTGGGGTTCATAC